ACTAGGTACCTGCTTTCCAAAAACGCCTTGTGAGTGTATAACCTCCGCCAAAGTCTGTAAGAGAAGCTGGACAGCTGTAGGTGGCACACTTAACTCATTCACATCCCTCTGTTCAGAGGTCATTTAACGCAATGGCACGCTCCCCGGAAGTGTGCCGTTGGTGAGAAGCGATGGCAGTCACGATACAGAAGGTATTTCCAACACCTCTAGCGGTTCTCATGTGCCTTTCTGAGGTTGATCCCCTTACTCCAGATTTATTCTCTGTGATTATAGATTAAACTTCCCTTTTTAGAGTTCATGTAAATGATCCCAGACAGTTATGTACTCACGTGTATCTGGCATCTTTATTTGAACATTATGGGTTTGAGATTTATCCAAGTTGTTGGGTTTATCAGTACTTTGTCACTTTTATTGCTGATTTGTATTATATTGTATATGCATTTTGCTGTTTGTTTATTCATTTATCGATTGATGGACATTTGCATTGTTTCTAGTTTGGGTCTACTATGAATAAAGAAGCTATGAACATTCTTGTAAATCTTGGTATGAACATGTTTTCATTTCCTTTCAGTAAATATCTAGGAATGGAATTGCTAGCTCATATGGCAAATGTTTGAGTATGCTTTACTTACAAGATTTTACAACCTCGTTGCCAAAGTGTACCATCTTACAGCCTCACTGTTAATGCATGAGAATTGCAGTTGCTGTATATTCTTGTCAAAACCTGGTATTGTCAGTCTTTCATTTTAGCCAAACTAATAACTATATTGTGATGTATCATTATAAGTTTAGTTTTCATTCTCATAAATGCTAATATTGTTGAGCATTTTTTTCATATACTCCCTGGCCACGTGTGCACTATCTTTAGTGAAGCGCTATATTCTGTATATAACTTCTTTATTAAATACACTCTGGAGGGTTTTTCTTACTCTTGTGGCTTTCCTTTTTATTGTTTTAAAGGTAGCCATCAAAGACAAAAGTTTTAAATTTGATGGAATAGCTTTCCCAGGGCTGGAGATTGAACCCACAGCCTATTGAATGCTAGACAGGTGGTCTTCCCTGAGCTACATTCCAGCTCTTGCTTGTGTTTTTAGATGCTGTCCAAACAAATTGGCCCAGTCTTGGAAAATTTTTCAACTGTGTTTTCTTCTACATGATTTGTTTTACAGTTTTCCTATTTTTCCTTTATTCTGTTAATGTGCTGTACTATTTTTTTCAAATACTAAACACTCCTTTGATAATGCCTTCCTTGGATAAATCCTAGTTGGTCAGGAAGTATTATTTTTTACATGGATTGCTGGATTCAGTATGATATTACTTTGTTATGGATTTTTTAAAATCTGCTATGAGGGATATTGGTCTGTTCTCTCCTTTCTTGTCATCTTTGTCTGGCTTTGGCACTGACATGCTGACATCCTGAAATTAATTGGCAAATGTTCCCTGTTTCCTGACGACTCTTTGTAGGATTGCTATTATTTATTTGTATTAAGCGTTTGATAGAATTAATCAGTGAAGCCATCTGGACCTGAATTTTTCTTCATGGGAATCTTTTAAGTAATGAATTCAATTTCTTTAGTAGATGTGAAGTTATTGAGGTAGTAAACTCTTCTTGAATTAGTTTTGATAATGTACACCTTTTAAGGAATTTAAATATATAGATTATTAAATGTATACATTTCTTCATAATATTCTTTTATTATCTGTAGTGATGTTATGAAATCCATGCTTGATATGGATCATTTGTGTCTTCTCTCTCTTTTTTTTTTAATCTGGGAGATGCTAGAGACTTACTAGTTTTATTTTTTAGGCATTCTTTAGGATCAATAATATGTGTCTTTAACTACTTAATATGCCTTCAAAATAATATGCCACTTTACATATGTGGCAAGAACCTTTATAGTTTTTAGTGTAATTTTTTTCAATTTTTCAATTTAAAAATACTTTATCCCTCAAGATATCTGGCCGTATTTTACTGGTATTTTCATCTAGTTTTATAGTATGCCTTTTTAAGTGGAATTTATATGATGAGAATTTACATGGGGTAGGTAATATGAAATAAGCATTTAAATAATTATTTTCCCTAGTAGTTAATAGTATTCTAACATCCTGTATTGAATGTTTTGCTTTTCCCATAATAATAGCTTTCTCTACCATACTTATTTTATGTCTAAATTTCTTGAAAAAAACTCTAGATACAGAATAACTAGGAAATTAATGGAATGATTACAGAAGAGTTTTATGTGCATATTGTATACCTTTCCAGGTTTTTTTGCATTTATGACCCAGTTTATTATGCATTTTTTATTTGGATCTTAAAACCTGAATTTGTTTCCAGGCACACACCTATAATCCCAGTACTCAGGAGGCTGAGGCAGAAGTACTGCCATGAGTTGGAGGCCAGCCTGGGCTACATAGTGAGTTCAAGACCAGCCTGAACTCCAAACTGAGACTCTGTCTCAAAAAGCCAAAACAAATCTGAATTTGCCTTAGGACATTTGGTTTATGTCCAACCAAAGCACACTTTGTGTACAGCATCTTTTATGTGAGGGCATCACTATTCTCAGCAAAATTTGAAGGAAAACTTGGATGAAAAAACTATTATTCCTGAATGGAGAGAATGTTCTTCAGCCCTATGAGTTTCCCAATTCTCCTGCCTAGAGCACGTGCTATAGTCTCTGGGGACATCTGTCTTCACCTCGGTAGCCGTCTCGCAGAGTTGTGAGAATTAAGTGGGACAGTGGATGAGATGTGTTTAGCACTGTATGTGGCATGAAGAAAGTGTCAGTACATACTGTTATCTATGGGCTAGGGGTGTACCTCAGAGGTAGAGTGTGTACTTCACATGTACAAGGCCCTGGGTGCAATCCCGAGCACCGTAAAAAATTAGTATTTGTGTTAATAGAAGTGTAAAATAAGAAAATATATTAGCCTTTTCTCTCTTATTTACTCTTTTCTCTATTATGATGAAAAGTAACAAATAGGTTAGCTTAGATAGATGAAGCATTCAGCAGTCTAATGCCAATGAAACTGCAGAATATCTGGGATTAAATAAAATTAGATGTGCATAAAATAGACTATAATTACATTTACAAAAGTAGTTGGATAAATATTATTGGGATGTGAAGTTTTAAAAGTCTAAAATAATAGGCTTATTCACTCTTGCTAATTTTTCACTTGGTTGAGTGAAATATTTTACATGTTGCTTTTTAAAATTTTATTGATACATTTAATGTATAAAATACAATGACATTCATTGTTGGAAATCTGTACCTTTACATTATCAATCTTGTTTCTTATTTTTCCCCATTCCCCTGCCCTCCCTTCCACCCCTCCCTCCCTATCTACAAAGACACTGTTTTCATTATTTTTCATTTTCTCATATTGATTCCATTCCCTTCTTTCCTTTCCCCTTCCTATTTCACAGTATCTATTTTACCTTTCAGTCCTTATTTTCACTTCCAGTTTGTCACACTAGAGAAACTTCGGTATTTACATATGTGTGTCCAATTTATATCACTTAAGAATATCACCACAATCTACATCCATTTAGCTACAAATGTCTCTAATTTCTCATTTTTTGTGGCTGAGTAGTACTCTATGTTATTTAAAAAATCACATTTTCTTTATCCAGTCTCATGGTGATGGGCATTTGGGCTGCCTCCAAGTTGTAGCTATTACAAATTGTGCTGCTATGAACAGGGTTTCACATATATCACTGTGGTATGATTCCTTTAATTCTATAGGGAAGATACCCAGCAGGTAAACAGCTGGGTCAAATGGGACTTCTAATCCTAGTTCTTTGAGGTATCTCCATACTGCTTTCCACAGTGGTTGCTCTGGTCTGCACTCCCACCAGCAGTGGAACAGTGTTCCTCTTCCCCCACAGCCTCACCAACCTTTGTTTTTTCTTGATTTCATGATAGCAGCCATTCTTTCTGGGGCAAAGTAGAATCTCAGCATTGTTTTCATTTGTGTTTCTCAAATGACCAGTGATGTTGAATGTTTTTTCATATGTTTATTTTCTATTTCTTTGTGTGAGAAATGTCTGTTCATTTCAGATGCCCATTTTTGGATTGGATCTTTAAATTTGGGAGGTCTGATTTTTTTAAGTTATTTATATATTCTAGATAGAAGACCTTCGAGAAACAGTGGGTGGAAATGTTGTCCCACATTGTGGGTTGTCTCTTCACACTGTTGGTCGTTTCTCTTGCTGCCCGTGAGCTAGCACAGTCAACAAGTGGGATGTCTTATTAAAAAGCTTCTGCACATGTTGCTGTTGTTGAGCACAACTGCTTAGTAAACACTAAATTATATATCCATTTTTTATTCAATTATATCACAAAACAGTTGGTTCTAAAACCCTGTGGCTTCATAATTTGTTCATAACATGCTAACATTTATGCCCTGGGGGTTTTCTGTGTGCTGGTGACCTACTACTACAGAGCAGATCTCTCTCCGGCTCCATATGGAGTAACTAGTTGGTAGCTTGAAACCAGCGGTGGGGGGAGGATTTATTCCATGGAAATCAGTAAAGCTGTTTTCTGGACAGCTGGTGGTTCAGCCCTTTACCAGCACACCACTAGCCACAGGCCAGGCTGGCCTCTAGCACAGAAGAGCATTGCTGTCCCTCTTCCTGCTGTGACAATTTAAACATGAGAATTTTTGAGGCCAGTGATGTAGCTCAGTGGAAGGCAGACTCTCAAACCCCCAGCATCAAAACAAGCGAAATAAAAAGCAGTGAGTTACAGAATGCATCCACAGAATGTTTTAAACTCCTCCATCCAGACTTAGCCATTTCCAACTTTCCATCTTTTGCTGGTGTCCAGGCCCTAGTGGATGTGTTTTAGTTGAGTCAAATGGTCTTGTTAGCTGTGATTGACTGGGGTAATTGTGACTTGCTTAGGAGTGGTGAGAATGTTGGTACAGATTAATCACTTGATTTAAGCAATTTGTACTTATGACCTTATCACAGTTTAAAACTAAATTTCATATTTACATTTCAGACCTTGTGCCATGGTCGCCCCTGACATTGAGCTGATCTGTGAAATCATGCTCGTGGCTGAAGGTTTTGTGGACGCCCGCTCATTAGCCCGAAAGTTCATTTCATTATACACACTCTGCAAGGAGCTCCTGTCCAAGCAGGTGAGGTGGCTTTTATTACTTTCTCTTGATTTTTACATCGCATTAAAACAGCTTTAGAAATAAAGATGCTGGCTAATTTAACACTTACAGTATTCTCAGACATTAGGAGTGATATTATATTTTCCATAAATCTTGAAAATTCACATCTTATGAACCTTAATTTTTTTCTGAAATTAAATTTGAGGCATTTTAATGTCCCAATATCTTATGTGTACTTAGTAAAAGCTTTTTAAATAAACAGCCTCTGTGATTTTCTTTTATTAATGTTATAATTTTAAAGGAAGGGAGTTTTATGTTCCTTCCCTTTCTTGGTGAGAATGTTATATTTTAGTGAGAAAAAGTAGAAGTATTCCTAAAAGAAATGTGAGGTTGACTTTCTGAAGAATGAATATCTTGAGAAATGTTAAGGTTTTCCTAATGTGTTGGCAATCCTTTATTTATTGGCTTTCTTTTTTTAACTTTTGCTGTACAATTCCTTTGACTCTGAAGTAAGTCAATCTTACTCACTACTCTCCAGGCATAAGTTTCTTGCAGGTTCATTGACGTTGTTAATGTGACACAAAAATTATATCTCTTCGGCATCAGTACTTTTAAATTTAGCATTGTGGTCGCTCTGGCTTTTGGTCTTTTCCCAGTGACATTGCCCATGCTGTTACAAAATACCAGTTGCAAATACAGTTACCTCAGTGCCTAATGTATTTATTTCAACTTTGCCACTGTTAGGGATATGGAATCTGGGAGGTGAAAGTTAAATTATCCTTTTAATAACTGTAAATTTTTATTTTCAGAAGAAATTACAAAATATAATCGTGTAAAAGAATATTTACAACATTGTTATGTGTAAAAGCTGCATACAAACAGTGGATGTGAACCCTGATTTGCGTGTATTCTGTATATTATATACAGTGGTGCCTCAGTTTATGAACTTAATTCATTTTATGATTTTGGGGAAGATGCTGTGTTTGTGTGGGGAAGACAGCCGTGTTTGTATTTGTTACCCAATGCAGAGTTTGCAAAAGGAAGCCCAATTTTGCTGAATGTTTTGTTTGCAAAGCAAACTGTTTGCAAACACAAGCATTCGTGAACTGAGGTATTACTGTATTGTTTTCTATACATATGCGGTAACTGGAACATATATCGTGATTTTTAAGTTGCCTCTAGATAGTAAGGATATTGGGATTTTCATTTTAATTCATATTATCGTCATCTTCTTATGAGACTATTTAAATTCTATGATAAAACCTCAGAAGAGGGGAAAAAAAGTAATTGAACGAGGAAACATGAAATTGCGACCAAATCCATTCCCAGTAGTAATGTGTGAGTACTTAGCATCTGTTGTGTCTGAGGAGTGTGCTGACTGCTAGCAGTGAAGAGGGGTTAGATACAAAATGAATGAAACTGACTCCCGCATTCTTAAAAGAACCAGTATTTATTGAACAGATACCAAGTATAGTGTTTAAAAGTCTTCACAAGACTATGAGTTTGATAGCATTAGGCCTGTTTTACAGGTTAAATAACCTGTGAAAGGTCCACACCTAGCAAGTGGTGCGGCCCTGCTGTCGCTTCAGGCCCTGCTTATGCTGTCTGTGACACTTGTAGCCTAGTACAAGAGGAAGGTGCTGGGAATAAAGGTAGAATAGAGAAGGACAGAGATCTTGAACTCAGTGAATTGACGTGAATGAGAGATGGTGGAAAAGAAGTGTGGCCAGGATGGAGAGTTGAGTGAGGAACTCAGTTGAGAGATACCTTTCTGAGCTTCAGGGGCGGACTTATGAGAAGAATCAGTGAACTTTTTTGACCAAAGGAATGATGCGGTGAAAACGGTGATGATTAATTTAGCAGCTGTTTGCAATCTTTACACTTAGTGGGGCCACCAAGTCCTTTCAGGTCTGTGTCCAAATCTCTCCCACTTCCTCTTCTTCGGTATCTTTACTGCGAGGACCTAGCCCCACCCCCAATCTACTTCCCCTCCAAAAGCTGGTTCTTCCTTTCCCGTCCCTCCTAAAGCCCCAGTCTACTTCTGTATCACTGACTTTCCGAAGACACTTTTTCTGTTGAGACTCAGCACGCAGCTCATGCATGTGTGCACACACATGTGTACAACCAAACCAAGCATATTCACCAAGTACTCCTTACCCTTATTACCTGCAAGCTGCTCTGAAATGTTTTCATTCCATTCTGCCTTATTTTGTCACCATCAAAAATGATGGTGAGGGCCAGGGATTTAGCTCAGCGGTTCGCTGGCCTGCAAGGACCCGAGTTCAATCCCCAGTACAAAAAAAAAAAAAAAAAAAAAAAAAAAAAA